TATATATATATATATATATATATATATATTGTATATATAAGTCTTACCAGTTCGCCCTCTCGCCGGTGTCACGTATTAATATTGATCAGAGGGCCGGTAACCCGGAGGAAGCGATATCGCCTGCGCTTTTCCAAGCACGAAAACTTTAGGCTCCGCCCTGCATCAATTTTCTATAGATAAAGAATTTCAGAACATATATATAATTCTTCTGAAGTCCTCAATTACGAGATTCTTTCTTGTTGCACACATTTGCAGACACATTCACCAGAATGATTTACGAACGTGTAATAAACGTCACTCATCATCGAGTGGGATCCTCCCATCCTCGATCACTCTAGAATCGGTATTCGCCGTTGTAATCTCTGTGAGAGCATTAATCCAGTTCTTCAATGCTTACCCACACAGCGTCTTTTAGATCGGTGCCGGATGCTGTTCGCTAATCGTTTGGATAGCTGCATCCGTTCCCTTATGAAGGGACTGACGAATGCGTTTAGGTAATAAGGATATACGTTGCCACGGATGTGAAATCGGTACGATCAAACATTCTCGCGCTCGTTGAGCGTTTTGTCGTGGAAATCGTGCAGTTCCGTTCCCACTTGAAAACCGAGGGACCACGTTTACCGAATTACATAAGTCAATTAGTCTATTTTCAGATAGCAAAATTCTTAAACGTGCAAGTTATAAGCAGTGCGCTCGATTGGTGATTCGTGATTTCTTTTAATATTACTCATTTAAGAATTTAACTCGATCGTTAAACAAAGATAAAATATTTTTAAAAATGAAACGAATAATAATTTTTAATGTAATCGTATTTTCAACTTAATGTAACATGTGATATAAATATTTGATGAATTATGTGAAATTATTAAAAAAAAAATTATGGTCAGATAAATGAAATAAATTTACCTATTTGTATCTTGGTGGGATCATTACTGCCAGACAAATGTATTCGCATGTGAATATTAGTAGTCAACGCGAGCATTTTGCTTGCGACAAACTTCATACGAATCATCCTCGAATTATAAATGTACGAACAGATGGACAAAATATATTTCCGGAATGATCACTAATTATTTATTATAGATAAAGAATAATTATTTAAATTTTTTTATTATATGAAAAATATATTAATCAAGACTAACAAAATATAATTTGAAAAATATCTCATTATTTTTAATGTAATATTTATCTATTTCTTTATTTATTATCTATTATTATTACGATTATTAGATTAATAAGATGTTTTAATTTGCATTTTTATATTCAATGATTATATCATGTTCAATTAATTTCAAAATAATGATATGCATTAATAATAAGAATAAAATTATATAAAACACATATAAAAATGCAATGTTTGTTCACAAGTATGATGTTTAATAGCTGAAAGAAGATGAAAAAAAGATTGTATGAATTCTAATCATTGATCGCTTATATGTATCATATCTAAAACATATCTAAAATATATCTCATCATATCAAAACATTAATCTCCTTCACTATAATATAGCATATTTGTATTGATGATTCGCATTGTTCTAATTCTGTAGTTATGTGAATTTAAAAAATTATATTCATTTAATTTCATATACATATTTATGCAGATAAACATAATTATCTATATAAGTATGTTCAGTTACTTCTTAAACTCGAAGATATAAGAAAGTTGCTTACATAAAAGTTCAATCGATATAGAAAAACACAATGCCAGAATTAGGTATTTTTTTTTCTAGTCATTGATCGTGAATACTTCAAGGTCATTCTCTTTTTTTCACTTTCATCGAAATTACGTTTTTATTATACTGAAATTGGCAAAAATTCCACATATGATTCAAACAAATAAAGAAATGAAATGTATCATTTTATTAGGCATTATTCAATGATTATTTATCGGACGTGTGGTACGTGAAATGTGGTACACGGTAAATTTACACGTCAGGCGACATTTAAATCGTAGGCGTTCGCTTAATTTCAAGCTATAGAAGAGATGATCCAAGATAAAAGTGAATCGAAAGTGGGCTAGTTTTATTTTTTTTACAGGCAGTTGAATTTGAATATTTAATTGAACCTTGATTTTAAAATATGCGTGCGCTATCGACTTTTAAATTCGAGTAATGTAAGGTTGAAAAAAATCATGATTTTCTTTGAATCGTGTGTGAAACATGTGTTTCGGCTTTGAAGTATGTTAATGGGTTCCGTGCCTTATAGATATGTCTGGGTCATCTGCGATTCAGGATAGATATAATAATAGCGAAAACATTTAATATGTTTGTGTAAACATGAAATGAATTATAGATCTATAACATTTGATTTTTTTATTTATATTATTTTTACTATATATTATATTATTTTTTAATTAATAGCACTATTTGTTTCTTTTCACAATAGTTCACAATTTTATTTTTACATTTTCTAGAAAAGAAATCGATAAGTTTCTTCAACATCGATTCACGTCATCGCTAAAAGTAGAAGGAAAAATTGAAGAATTAATAGAGTTCGATATGAAAGTTTGAATGAAAGTCTACTTTAAATCTAGAACTATATTATAAAGTTTTAATGAATTAATAAAAGTATAATCGTATATGTAAAAAAAACTTCGATTAATATTTTATTGAAATATTTCTTTATTTAATGAGGATCTTATTGGATTTATTTTAATCCAATTTTGATTTGTAACTCAATTTTACGTAAAAAATTCATTTCCTTAATGTTTGATATATCTTATCGTTCAAATACGAAACATCGAGTTTTATCTTATACAAATGGACACTAGATATTTTTGAAATAAACCGTTTAGATTTTTATTACAAATTATATCAAAAAATAATCCTATATTTGTAAATTATGTTTTTTTTATATAAATTTTTTTCTTTTATATTAAAATAAATATTAATTTTAAAGAATAGAAAATAAAATATAATTCTGAATTAATGAATGATATTTCATTATATAATATTATATATTTTTTTTTACATTCATAACTATTTTATAAAAATATCTTTTAAAATATCATTAAAATTTTGATTTTCTGATTTTCTTTTTTAAATTTTGACTTTTAAATTTCTTTAAAATTTTTACAAATTTTTCTATTATTCTATATTTCAATTATCTTCAATTACTAAATTGGAAACATGATTTTAACATTTGCTAATATTTCATGCTGTAACTTCATCTACGATAATCACAACGATATTTCGAATTGATAAAGTTGACTGTGACTATCTTTTAATTCAATTTTTGAAGTTATAGATCAAACGTGGTGCGAATCATTTAGAAATATATGGATAAATAATCCATGGATCACCGCCATCCATGGATTCCGTGAACATTGAGTCTTAACATTAATCAGCGTGAATTATGAAATTCAGAATGAACGTGCAATTTAACAAAGATAGATGTGCAATCTCGTGCATAACTTTCGATCTTTGTGTTACGTTAATGAAATTCTTATCCTGATATTAAATTGATGAAATATATCTTGTGTAATAATTAGTGATACAACTAACCGTGAAAAAGAAGATTTTATGAATATTTCATTATCCACTGGGAATTTTGATGAAAAATATATATGTATGAATATATATATAACAGATTCGTAACGATGTAGAGGTTAGAAACGCTGACTTATAATTTTTCGCTTCTTAACTATAATAATAATTATTTTACTATACATCTTATTTTATTTTATTTTATATCGATCAGAATTGAAAAAAAATTAAATATAAAATTCTTTAATTTCTGTACAAAAGCATCTCAGCTGTTAGAAAATAGAACATCTCCAGACTCACTATGCAAGTTAACCTTTTTTGTATGAGCATGATTCATGACTAATTGAATTTCCTCTGCAACAGGTTTTAGATTT